CGCACGACAACCATGACAACCCTCACCAGGTTGTGGTACGTGTCACAGTAGTTGGCCGCCGAGAAAATGGTGATGACAGGGGGAAAGTCCCTGTCTGAACGAGTGTCCAACGGAGCATACGCGGGCGACGAGAAGTGAAACAAGTACCCTTCGTCTTGGAGCTCGTGCGCGCGGACCATGCACATCAAGTCGTTGGCCGTGAGAAAGTCGTACACAGCCGTGCAGCTGTAATAGAAAGAGCACCCTCGTACCTACAACACACACACAGGATCGGGGCGTTGGCCACAAGATGCACTCGAAGACGCATCGCTGCCGCCCACGAGTGCCACGCATGTGTGCTTTTGGCCACGATGTGCGTAAACATGGGATGCCATACCGCATTGGGCATCCATTTCACCGTCGTCGGTGTGATGGACTCACGATGTTCGAGCAGCGGTGTCGTTTCTGGCGGCGCGCCCAACATGACGTTGGATTGTTCAGATGGAGCGGGTGGTGTGGAGCGAGCTACCGCGACCATGTCGTCGTCGTTCGTTGCTTCGTGTGCATCTCCCAGATCTACACATGAGAAAGGAATCGACGTTAGGAACTTCAACTAGTTTGAAGGTCGAGGCACGGCAACGGGAATATTGCAAAACACACCGTTGACGGTGCTGTCCGTGTCGCTGGTCGAGTCCTCATACTCGGGGACAGGGTCGCTCCACAATAGATCGCAGAGTGGACCGCTAGTTGTGGGCTCCTGCCGTCGTTCGATCGCGTCGATGTCGGCGAGAGTTTTCAGCGACGGCGACAGACCCGCATGGACACAAAACACTCGGTGGCCATCCGACGACGCCGTCACGACTGCTGCCAACGGCAGCGCGTGGAAACATTGAGTGAAATGGTAGTACACAGACAGACCGTACTTTGCCTTGCATTCCATGCGAAACCCGTAGAACGACGAGATGGCTTCGCATTCGTGGTTGCCACGAAGCAAGTACACACGCGACGGGTACTACACAGCATGTGCATCACGGCACATGTGGACGGAGGAGGCATGGCCGTACGTGCGTCTTCATGCAGAGAAGAAAGAGCATGACTTCGCACGAGAACGCGCCGCGGTCGACGTAGTCGCCCAAGAACAACAGAGTATTGCCTACAGTGCCATGGACCTGTCACGAACACTCTGGATGCTATCGACGAGCACCAGAGTCGCCGAAGGACGGCTGGAAGAAGTCGCACTTGTCAAGGAGCTTCATCAGGTCAAAGAACTGGCCGTGGATGTCTCCAAACACTACAAACCCCACCATGTCGTGAGTATATCGACTTGCACGCAATCAGAGCGTGAGGAGATGGCCTGTCCCACCGACAACAGGTGCGTCCAAGTAGAGCACGTTGGGCTCCCTGTCCATCACGTCATGGGATGCATGGATAATTTGCAGTGCACTCTCCATGCTGAGCCGCTCCTGTTTCTCAAAAAGCGCCCGCATCTGCGCTAACGACGGCGTCATTGCCGTCATCGCTTCTCTTCACCTTTGTGTGCCAAACTCACGGTATCCGGATAATTGAGATCCGGGTTCAATTATCCGTATTGCTACCGGATACCATGGCGAGTATCCGAATGCCGGCCTTTCAAACTCGTATCTTTTGCGAAAGAATTGTGATGGCGGTCCAACGAATGAAGGCGCTGGCGACGCTCGCGGCGCTGGCCAGCCACAGCGCACTTGGGTCTGTGCGCGACCTTCGTGGATTTGGTAGTGCACAGCATGTCGTGCTCTTCGGGTATGTCGATTGGTGTGTCTCCCATCGAGGCGTTTGTTGAACGGATAATGTGACAGACTGGACGGTCTCGACGTACGGTGCTTGCACCAAGCCCTGGCAAATGGCAGCGCGCCGTACTTGGAATATATGCGCAACCACGGTGTGTACACAGACAAGGCGCGAAACAACAAGCCCGCCGTGAGTTTGCCCAACTGGGCGTCCATCTTTTACGGCGCGGGGGTCATGTTTCACGGCGTAACTTCGAATGGATGGACGTATTGCACGAGAGAGGAAGATGATGTCAACTATACACCGCCATACCTAGACGATTGCGTCGTGTACCCCGACTTGTTCACCGTCACGAAGCAGCAGCAGCCCGACTTTGTGACAGCGTTGTTCTACGAATGGACCAATTTTGACGCGATTTTGCCGAATGAGACCGTACCCATCGACACGCGGCGCTTCATCGACAGTACGTCCAAGGCGCGTTGAATATTCTTTGAAATGCCTGCACGATAAAGTCAACGGGATGCGTGCGGCGTGGCACGAGACCCCCCCTCTTCACGCTGACGTTCGTCGCCCTTCACACGTTGCAACTTACAACTGCTGTAGGCTCGGATTGCGAAGGGACAACCAATGCATCGCAACTCTTGACAGATGAAGCGTTGACGCTCATCACGCCAACTTCGATGCCGCAGCTTCTTGTGCTCCACTACGACGAAGCAGACACGTGCGCGACAGAGTCGAGCTGCTTTGACGATGGCGGTCAATTTGCCATCACTGCTGTCGACACCAACATCGGCCGCGTGCTGAATGCGGTCAAGGCGGCTGGGCTCTCAAACTCGACCGTGTTCGTCGTCGTATCTGACCACGGACGGAACGAAGATGGGACGCATCATGGTGGCAAGGCCAAGTCGAATTTCGAGACGCAATGGGTGGTGTACGGACAAGGCAAGTTGGCACGTCCCCCGCTACCTCGTCCCGCATGAACTCACCGCTGTCGTTTTTCACGGTTGGCGCAGATATCATCGAAGGAAGCCGCGAACTCAAAAGCGCCATCTCGATTGAAGACACAGCCCCGACAATCGCCCACTTGCTCGGATTTGTTACCCCGACAGAATGGCACGGTCGCGTCGTCCACGAGGTGCTCCTCCAAGCCAACGAAAGTCTCTACTCTGCTGCCAAGAGCGCGTGGGGCGCATGTCTCAACGCAGAATGCGCACGCAAGACCGGCCACCCCGAAGTTCAAAAGGCGATCGAGGTCAACTGGACGATGGGCATCGTCAGCACATGCGTCGTCGTTGGTGGTCTCTGCCTCGCGACCTTTGTGCGGTTTTACTCGTACCGTCGGGGGTACGAGCAGCTCTAATCCGGTCAAATACATCGCCAATTGACGTGAATTATATCGCCATGGACACCCTCGCTCGAGGCTCATCGAAACAACGTCTCACCCGAGCGAAGTGGCGGACGGTCGAGCTGTGCCCTCGCGACATGCGCCAAAGATCAAGCGCCTCATGCAATTCTCCAAAAATTCGGGCAAGCAGATCTCCCGCAAGCCAGGAGAGGTCGCGACCCCGCGGAGCCCCCACGCACCCCAATTCCAAGTGCACGTGATTTTATATGGATGTGTTTTACAGCGGGACTCAAGTACGCATTCTCATGCATGGATGGATGACTACATGACTTGACACGGGCCGGTCCCCTTGGGCGTCGTCTCGCTGGCCCCTCGGGTCGTTGGCATCGCAGGTCGGGCAAACTGAAAGTTGCGACGCAAGTACCCTTTCAAGGCCTTGAGTTCGTGGACAAGAAGGCGGTAGGACGCTTCATACGTGGCCGGGTCGGGTGTGGCTGCCTCTTTGCCCAGCATCATGTCTGCGGCAACTTGGACGCGGAACGCCGCCTTGCTCACCCGCATCGCTGCCACGTATGCCGAGCTGCCTTTGAGGGAATGCGACTCCCGCCGAACGGCAGGCACGTCTTGGTTAAAATACGCTTTCTCGAGCTTGTGGACCGACGCGTCGAGCCCGTCGTAGTACATTTCCAGGAGCTTCAAGAACAAATCTTCGTTCCCGCCGCACTGGGATACCCCCGTCGAGTAGTCGACGGGGTCGCCTTCGGGAATTTCAATGTCGAGCACGGACGACGTGTTCGAGTTGGCCAGCACGGGGGGCACCGCAGGCGACAAAGCCGACGGCGGTCCCTGGCCTTGTTGGCGCATTGCGTGGACGTTCATATGCGACTCTTTGTCCGATCGGGAATGCTGTGGTTGCTGCCAATCTACACCTTCGTCGGCGACTATTTGCGCCAGCGGGCGCATGAGTTTGGTCACGTCCGGCAAACTACAAACACGTCATCGCATGCGCCAGAGATACGCTTACCTGTTGGACGTGTGCCGCCGTTTAGCCAAGCTGTCGGGTCCACCCGCCGCGGCAGCCGCCGACGCATACTTCTGCTGCTCGAACGTGTGGTACGTCTTGGACATTGGGCTCGTGCTGTCTTGAATTGGAGATCGACTGCTCATAGACGACCGCAGGTTGGAGGTCGACGACGACATGCCGAGGCTAAACATGGACTGGTTGCACGGCTTTCCACCCGAGTTGGACGTGGTGTCACCAAGGGTCGTCGTTTCGTACGCTGGCATGACGCGGTGTCGGCCGATCATCATGGGGTCCTCGAGTTCGAGGTCCGAGATGGCCCGAGTCAAGTCGAGGTTTTGCGTGTGGTTGGAGGCGTGCACGAGGTTTGTGTTGAGTTTTCGCGACGAGTTGGTAAAGTAGTCTTGCTGCAGCGGCGGCGGTAGATCGGGCACTGTCTCCACGGACGACCGCGGCGATGACGTGACTAGGTCAGGGTACCCATCGAGGAGGAGACTCGACTCGGCCAAGTTTAAGTTTGGAATGTACCTAAGCATGAACGTCATCACGCGAGGCATGTGCGAAGCGCCTTACCGCTTGCGCATCCAGTGCGCAATGGCTTTGAGCAGCCCCGACTTGGAAATCGGTTTGACGATGAATTCGTCCATGCCTGCGTCCACGCACTTTTCCCTGTCGCCACACATTGCATACGCCGTGAGCCCCAAGATCGGAATACGCGGCAAGCCGTTCTCTACGAAGTCGTTAGAGCGTCTTTCACGACGTCGTGGCCAAGAAGCCCCTAGGATGGACCCCACGCACCGATTTCAAACTGGCGAATCGCTTGGGTGGCAGAGTACCCGTCCATGACAGGCATCTCGCAATCCATGAAGATCATATCAAAAGAATCGTGGTGCGCCTTGTATGCGTCGACTGCGTCGCGGCCGTTGATTTCCCACTGCAAGTAGTGGTCGTCGCCTTGGAGGAAACACTTGACGACTTCCCAGTTGAAATCGTTGTCTTCAACGACCAAAATCCGCGCCTGCTTCGGCACCGCCGACTCCATAACGTCCCGCGCGCTGGGGGAGAACCCGCCGCCCAAGCTACTGCTCTGCTTGGGTTCAAGCTGTGGCGCGAGCTTGGGCAAAAGCTCCTCTGGAATGACGCGGACCGCGACAGAGAAGAAAAAGACCGACCCGATGCCCAACTCGGAATCGACGTCGATTTGGCCGTCCATGAGCTCGACGAGCTGTTTGCAAATGGCAAGGCCGAGCCCAGACCCCGTCGGGTTGTTCTTGCGCGTGCGCTCGAGCTTGGTAAAGAGCGAAAAGAGCCGAGACTTTTCCTCGGCATCCATCCCTACATGGTCCAAGACACGGCACATAAACCCTCGTTCGTCGCGCCTGCGTCCTTACCCACGCCTGTGTCGATGACTTGAAACAGAAGTCGCTTGTGATGCGGCGGCTGGTCCGGGTTTGACGGCGCGACGCTGCACTTGATCGTGATCGTGCCCTTCAACGTGAACTTCATCGCGTTCGAGAGCAAGTTGAGGAGAATTTGACGCAATCGAACCACGTCCCCAATCACCTACACCAATGCGCGGTTCGGCCCACGAGCGTCGACGGGTCGAGACTTTACCACTTCAGGGACGCTGGGCGCGAGCACGACGGACAGCTTCAACCCGCGTTCGTGCGCTTTGAATTTGAAGATCTCGATCGTGTAGTCCAAGAGGTCTCCAATGTGGAATGGCGCCGACTGAATTTCCAAGTGGCCGGCTTCGATCTTGGACAAGTCCAAGATGTCGTTGATCAAGTTGAGGAGGAGAGACCCTGATACGTACGCCATGTGGACGTATCGTTCAGGGACTTTGCCAAGCTTTTGCTCTTTGAGGAGCTCGAGCATTCCCAGCACGCCGTTCAGAGGCGTCCTGCTCATCATGTGAGTTCAACAGTCGCGACAATGACGACGCACCTCAATTCGTGGCTAAAGGACGCGAGAAAATTGACTTTTGCCGCTTCCATCTGCTTGCGCGCCGTGTAGTCTTGCCCGACGCCAATGACGCCCCGGATGTTGCCGTGAATGTCCTTTTTCGACGACGCGTTGACGAGGAGGAGGAGAAAGCATCCCTTCTTCGTGATCATGGGGAGCTCCATTTCGCCAACGTCGATCCCGATAAGCGCCTGGTTGAGCAGCTGCTTGACTTGCGACCGACTCTCGGGAATGATAAACGTGTCGAGGCCCATCCCAAACACAGCGTCCTTTTGGTACCCCGTGATAAACTCAATCTTTTGGTTCCACTCGTTGATGTTTCCGTTCGTGTCGACACCAAAGATCGGCGCGTTCGCCGAATCGATCAGCCGAAAGTACTCGTGCTCTTGCGAGATGCGATCCGTGATGTCTTGGCCGATGCCCACAACGCCCACGATGTTGCCTAGTCGAAAACAACATCGTAAGCTCTCGTGGACGAGTTTGGAGATCGCGCCACGCTGCCGTAAACTATGCACCACCCTCCAGCCAACTACTGCCCACGGATGGCGCAGGACGGTCGTTCGGGCGATAGAAACGAGCGCAAGTCATTTTACCGTGCAAATCATTGCGAGGGGTTGCATTCAGGAGAATTTCAATCCGCGTGCCAGGCCGCGTGATTAGCGGAAACTCAAAATTGGCCGTTTGAATCCCATTCAGCGCTTTCGACAGCACGTCCGCGACTCCCGGACGGTACTCTGGTGAGATGAACGTCTCGACCAAGTTCTCGCCCATGACCTGTCGACATAACATGTCAAGTCGCGGGATGGCCAAGTCCACGAACCTCAGAGATCGAGTAATGCGTGATCTGCGCCGCCTTTTTGTTCCAAATGTTGACGCACATGTTGGAGTCGACGCCAAATATCGGTGCGTTAGCCGTATCAATCAATCGCGAGTATTCCTGCTCAACAAAAGAGCGACGTCAGCGGGGATGCAGCCACGTGGTCGGCGGCAAGCCTTGGCCTCGTTCAGCCATTTGTACAACTACACGTGGGTACCTGCTCCTGAGCAATTCTATCCGTGATGTCCTGGCCGATGCCGACCACTCCAATGACGACCCCCAGTTCGTTGTACCGCGGCGTCGCATTGAGTAAGATTTCGACTCGTCGTTCGCTCTTGGTGATGAGTGGAAACTCAAAATTTGCCGTCTCCGTCCCCGTCATTGCCTTCGCAAATACTTCCGACACGGCGGACCGGTACTCTTCGCTGATGAACGTATCCACCAAATTTTCTCCGATCGCTTCTTCGATCGTAAACTGCGTGATCTCAGCCGCCTTTTTGTTCCAAATGTTCACGCGCAGGTCGGCGTCGACTCCAAAAATTGGCGCGTTCGCCTTGTCGATCAGGCGGGAGTACTCTTGCTCCTGCGCAATGCGGTCCGTGATGTCTTGGCCGATCCCGACCATTCCCATCACTTTGCCCTGCACATCGAATTGAGTCGCGCGATCATTTACACCGACCTTTATGCGTCGACAAGCCAACCCGCCATGCGACGGTCATGGGTATCCACGTACGAGTTCGTTGTACCGCGGCGTCGCATTCAGCAGAATTTCCACGCGGCGGCCCGTCTTGGTGATCAACGGAAACTCAAAGTTGGCGGTCTCTGTTCCTTGCAACGCCCGCGACAAGACATACCTACAAAAGTCATCCGTCGGCCGCTCCGACGGCATCGACGACGTACCCGACAGCTTTGCGGTAGTCTTCCGTGATAAACTTCTCCACGAGATTTTTCCCCATCACGTCTTGCTGCGTGTATTGCGTGATTTCCGCCGCCTTTTTGTTCCAAATGTTGACCAGGCCATTCTGGTCCACTCCAAAGATCGGCGCGTTCGCCGTGTCGATCAACCGCGTGTATTCCTATGCACCCGACCCGTTGAATCGTTGGGTGCCCGTCGTTCTCACGACGTTGGGCATGTACGCACCTGCTCCTGCGCGATGCGGTCGGTAATGTCTTGGCCGATGCCGACCACCCCAATGATATGCCCCATCTGGTCGAATCGCGCCGTCGCGTTGAGCGAAATATTGACCTTTCGTCCCGTCTTGGTCACGAGGGGGACCTCAAAGTCGGCCGTCTCGTCGCCCCGCAGCGCCATACTCAACACGTCGCGCACCTACACGCCAAAGGTCAAATCACGGTGGCCGAGCACATTATCACGAGCAACCCGCCGGTCGTTTGTTCATGCAGTTGTCGCACGTACCCCCTGGCGAAACTCCTCGCTGATAAACTTTTCGACCAAATTCTCGCCCACGACTTCATCCATCGTGTATTGAGTGATCTCAGCCACTTTTCGATTCCAAATGTTGACACAGCAATTGGAATCGACGCCGAAAATCGGAGCGTTGGCCTTGTCGATCAATCGCGAGTACTCCTGGCCATCCACACCCGTTTACACGCTCGGCGTGGATATGCACGAACCTGCTCCTGCGCCACACGATCTGTAATGTCCTGGCCAATACCGACGACGCCGACAATGTTGCCGACTTCATCGTAACGAGACGTAGCATTGAGCAGGATCTCGAGCTGCCGCCCGCCGTGCTTGGTGTCGAGCGGAAACTCAAAGTTGGCTGTTTCGATTCCGTTCAACGCCTGCGTCAAGACGGCGCCAACCTACACCATGTGAGCGCGCGCGCAATGCGGCGAGTGCCGACGTACAGGGCCGCGATATGCCGGGGCGATAAACGTGTCGACCAAGTGCTTCCCCATGACTTCGTCGGCAGCGTATTGTGTGATCTCCGCCGTCTTTTTATTCCAAATGTTGATGCGGCCGATGTGGTCTACCCCAAAGATTGGTGCGTTCGCCCGCTCCAAAATGCGCGCGTACACGTGCTCGCTCTTGCTGGTGGAAGGTACCTTGTCCTGCAGCGAGGACACGTCCGTGCCGACGATGATGCATCCCACGACGTCTCGGGTCGAGTTTAAACGTGGAGATGCGCTGATCAACACATCCAGCACGCTCGAGGGCGATCCGTACGTCTGCAAGGAGCATTGAAACACAGCGGGTTCGGCGGTGCACACCACGTTCTGGATGTGCTTGTTTGCCATCGAAACGAAGTCCACCAGTGTCACAAACGACACCGACGCGTCATTGCCGTCGGTCTCGACGTCGCCACCGGCAGCAGATTTTCTACCGGCAGGCTGGACGAATGTCTCGACGAAAGGTGTACCGAGCCCAGAGGTCGCATCGCACTCAAGCAAACATTGCGCGCGACGATTCATGTAGGTGACGACGCCCTGCAAGTCGAGTTGAACGACCATCGTTGCCATCGCTTCCAACATTGCTTCATAGTCCACTGGCAATATCTCGCTCGAGATGGCTGCATCCTCTTCTACGGACGCTTGCGACGACACCTTCCGCCGCCCCGTATGCCGTGGCATGCTCTTGGTCGAGCAATGTTCAGTAGAAATCTCAAAATCTGGTTTTAATGTCGCCGGGGGTAAAACGCTACGTTTTTTACATTTAAGTGCGATTCACTCCTTATCCGGATAAACCTTGTTGGACAGAAATAGTGTGAATAGCCGGATATCTAGTGCCGCCATTCTTTCTTTCCATTGCATTCCCGACGATGGCCGTCTTGGACAAGCGCTTCCACCGCCCGCTGCACATCTTCAGCGTCGGCCTGTGCACGGTCCTGACAGTGAAACTCGTTCTTTTCACGGAATATAAGAGCCCCATGGGTCTGCCCAACCAAGATCACGTGTTCACAGGGGTATGTCTATCTTGCAAGTGTTGCCCGTCCATTGCATCATCATGTGCTCACATGGCTCTTGCAGATTCAAAAGTACACACAGGAACAACTCGACAAGTTCTTCAAAGTGGACGAGGTAGCTGCGCGACGAAAGAAGCAAGGTGCCGAGGACGACAAGTGATCCCGACAGACCCCCCGAGTGACAACAAATCGACTCTGTGTTTTCATGGATGCTGCGAGATTCTACTGTCCTCCAGGCGACTCAGAGGACGGAGGCGGCATGGACGACGGACCACAGCCTGATGATGGCGCCGCGTCTTCGCTGGAAGGTGCAGGTGTAGCTGCTGCACTGGGTTTGAACACAGCAAACTGCGGTCGAGGCGGCGTTCGTTTCGCTGCCGCTGCCCCACCTCGCTGCGAGCCATACATATTCCGCGCTGGTGGCGCCATCATGGCTGCGAGAGGTGTCGTTTCCTTCATCGGTGGCGGGGCCATAAGTGCGGCAAGGGGGTCGTTCGACGCTGCGGCGTCGGGTGCAGGTGCTTGGGCAGCTGCGGCGAACGACGTGGGCGGCGGGGGTGGCGGGCCAGACAAGTCTTCCGCATCTTCTTCACCCGGGAACACCCATCGCTTCTTCTCTTCGCAGTAATATGCTTCCATGTCCTTGCCTACCTTGGCAACTGTCGCGTCGCCCACGGGGTCCGCGCTTCGTCGCAGCATGTCAACCAGACCAAGCGAAGGCAAACTAAGCGATGGAAAGCCCCACCCAGAGGATTTCTTCTGGGAGGTCGACGTCGGTGGAGTCTTGGCTTTGGGTGTCGTCGAGTCGTCCTTTGTCGTGGGGGACGTCTCCGCGTGCGCCTTCGCCTCCATGGTGAAGCTGCTGCTCTTCTTCAGCGGAGGATGGGCGTGGGGTTGTGCCGATGGCGGGGCCGACGCAGTGGTGGCGCTCGGAGCACGAGGTGGGAGCATCGCGGCCGCGTTCGTTGAACTAGGTGGCTGAGAGATGCTTGAGGGCGGCGCGTCGTTCCAGCTGGACGAGTTTCCGTGCTGCAATCCAGACGCATCCTGGCCATGCTGCGACCCAGGGGACGGCGTGTTGTGCGACCCTGGAGACGACGCGATCCCATTGTTGTGGGCGTATCCATGGCTTTGCGAGGTCGGGGCCGCGGCGGGTTGGACATGTTGCTGGTACGTCGACGACGAACTGTTGGGAGCGCGCGAGTTGTGCGACCCGGGGGGCTGCGAATGGTTGGAGCCAGGGGCCGGCGGAAACATGTGCGGTGCAAACGCGGCGCCGGCAAGCGGAGCCGACACGGCCTTGGCCGGGGGCGGCGGCGTGTCATTGACAATCTTGTCGAGCGTCATGTCCAAAAATCCCGTCAACGAGCTAAAGAGGCCGCCCTTCTTGCTCACTTGGACCTCGACTGCGTCGACATTTTCTTGGCCCATGAAGAACCGCAAGCGATCGTCAAACACGTCCAGCTGCATCTTGAGATTGTCCAGGTATGGCGACGACGGCATCTTGAGTTTGACCGTCCATTGCTCGAGCGTCTTGCGCATCGCGTCCACGTACTTGAACGCGACATCGCAGCAGCCCGCGTCGGCCAGCAGCGTCGCATAGATAAACTTGTACCCTTGAAATGGCACCATCGGCGTCGCTTTCACAACGTGCTCGTACACTTCAGTCCATTGCACTGTGTTGGGCCGGACAAAAAAGCGAACGTCGCCCGTGGCGTGACCGCCGATCAGCGTCATGCGAGCGGTCGGCGACGGGGCTTCGAGCGGCATACCCGCGAGCAAATAGCACACGTGCGCTGCCCACACATTCCTCGTTTCACGGAGCAATCGGTCGCCCAACTCGATGAGGACCTTGTTCGTCGTGGCGGTCGGGTTTGCAATCAAGATCTGAACTTGCGCCAGCCAATTTCCCAACAACGACGACGGCGATGGCGTCGACGGTTCCTGCACACTCGCCACGTCCAAGTCGCCAAACACCATCAACATGGTGCGGAGGGGGTCGCCAGCGCCGTAGCGAGAGGTCACAAACCTTTCCACGACAGCCTTGTACATGCCCGAATCGACAAACGACGCGAGCAGCATCGCTTGCGACCACATGTTGGCCGCGACGGCCGTGTCGATGGCGGCTTTGCGATCGCCGTCCAAAAGGAGTTGGCGAATCTTGGCATTCGTCGCCACCTCTGTTCCTTCAAAGGAAGGTGCATGCACGGCTGTCGGCGATACAGGATCGTACGGCGGCAGCGAGTTGCTGCGTCGCGCTAATGCGTTTTGGAGCACCTGCATCAGCAAAATGTCCGACGCCTTGGCGTCGCGGGTGCTGATCTTGCCCTTGGACTTGACAAACACTTGCATGAGGTCCCACAAGAGGCGCTCGTCTTCGTGGAGCGAAACGTGACTGCCCATGTACTTGAGGATGGCATCGTCCGTTGTCGACGAGGGACCCCCCAGCGGCCCTGGAAACGACCAAACCTTTTGGTAAAATGCATCCGACTCATGATGGACTCGATCGAGTTTGTAAAAGTCCAGTGGACCCTTGCGCGAGTCGTCAATGTGCTCGTCTACCGATCTACACTCGACATCATCGTCAACAAATCCATGCACAAATGAAAATTCACAAACGAACCCGTGGGGGGTGCGCGGGCTGTTGCGATGGCCAGTGCTGAGCAACTTGAGCTTCCGTCGAGGAAACATCACGCAGACAGTGCCGCCAAACCCAAACGTAGCCAAGCAAGTCCGAGGCACGACGGACGGGTCCTTGGGTTGACTGCCTGCTTGGGGTTTGGGCGCCGGGTTGAACACTGCCGGGGCCGCCTGCGGGGTCGGCGTGGTAGGTTGGTACTGTTGCTTCAATTCCCGACTCATGCGCGGAACATGTTGCTCGTATGCCACTGGTTGGGCTGGAGCCGGTTGCGGCTTGAAGATGGCGGGCTTTGCAGGTCGAACGTCGGCTTGATTAAAGCCGTGAGGGTGGCCGTACTGCTGCACGCCTTGCTGATTGTACTGGTCGTATGGATGGTACTGCGTCTGCTGGGAGTACCCCGGGTGGGAAAAGCCATGGCCAGGGACTTGAGGGTACGACGGAGGCGCTGGCTGATCAAACGTTTGCGCGACGGGCTGGTGGTATGCAGGCTGCTGGGAAGCTCCTCGTTGAGCATAACCAACATATGCACCGTGCTGTTGGTTATATTGGGCATCATATCCTTGAGCAGTGGCTTGGGCATCATAGGAGACTGGTCCTTGGTTGAACGCGGCTGCCGTGGCATGGTTGCCGTAGCCATATTGGTCGGAATATCCCTGTTGAGCGTATGCGTGGGAGGTCGGTGTTTCGTCGCAATGGCCGCTCGCGTGGCTCGTGGGTCGGCTGTACGATGGCGCGCAGGGAGCGGCGGCGACAGGAGCCCCGTAGGCACGCGCTTCTGGTTGATGGAAGGGTCTTGATGGAGCGTATTGGTGTGAGGATGACTCTGTGTAATTGCCAAATACTTGGGCAGCAGCGGCAGGTTCATGTTGGTGCGCCGCTTGTCCGAATGGTTCCGATGATTGGCTGGTAAACGCTTGATGCTGGTCAAACAGCGACGACGACGAGCCAGCAAACAAATCGTCGGCAGGTGCTTCAATGCATGCTTCCGGTGCAGATGTGTTGCAGGATGGAAAGGCCTCGGTCGCGATAGCGCTCGGCGCTTCAAAAACGGCGTTCACGTTGGGTCCAGATGCATTCGACGACGCGATGTACGCCTGGAACGTCGGAGGTGCAGCAAACGCGTCAGCGCCAGAAGACGCATGGCGACTGAACAAAGTGGCGGCATGGGCATTTGAAAACCCACCCAACGAACTCGGCGGCTGGTCAAATGCACTCGACGACCCAAACACGTTGGAGATTTCGTTGCCGTTTGTCGGGGAAAACAACGAGTCAGCGGTTGGCACTTCGTCATCCTCGACTTGCAGCGTGGGGCGGTTTTTCGCTGCGACCGACGGCGGAGAGCGTTGCGGAATGGACGCGGACGGCGTCATCGGCGGTGCTGACGAGTCGATATCCTCAAATGTTTGTGCAGCGTGTGGAGTCGTGGAAGCCAGCGAATGGTGGTCAGGCGGCGGTGGTGCCGGGTGAACTATTTCTGGGGGCAACACTGCGATATCTTGGTGGAATTGGTGCACGACAGGTTGATTTGCCGAGTGCGCAACTTCCGCGTGATGGTCAGAGGTCGCGGTGGCGTCTGGTTGCATTTGATCGCCCTCTGAGTAGCAATGCGAATTGTAGCCAAAGTTTTCCTCGGGGGCGGCGCCATTCGTTTCGTTTTGCTGGCACACCACTTCAGACGACGATGCAACAGGTTCTGTCGCAAAATGGACTGGGGCATGGCCAAAAAACGAATCCGCAGAACCGCTCGACTGTTCAAACAACGACGCTGGCTCCGAAAAAGAGTTGGAGGCGGCCAACGGGGCTGCTTGGGAGTAGGCAGCGCCATGACCGCCAATTTCAGCATGCATACTGCGGCCATTGTCATGCACAGTGTGGTGCTGCGACGGTATTGGTTGCTCAAGCGAGTGCGGGGTACTTGATGTCACTTCAAAGGGAGTGGAATATTTCTGGTGCGTTTGGATAGGTGGGGGAAAGTTGTGGTGGTATTGCTCGTGGCCACAAGGTACTGCTTCATGCAAAACAGCGGCGGCATGCTCTTGAGCAAACACGTCGTCGGCGCTGTGGTGGTCATGGCTGGCGGCAGGCGCAGGGGCGGTAAACGGATCGCCAAATGGATCGTTTGAGTAGCTGCCTTGTCCCCCAAACAAGTCTGCAGCGTGCCCAACCGAATGGAATTGCGATGACATATCGTGCTGGACGGATGCTCCAGTTGAAAAGAAATCGCCCTCTCCGTGATGCTGAGCGAGATGCGGGGCCGAGTGGTAGTCAGTCGGGTTGGAAAAGTGTGCGACGACACCAGCAAACGCTGTTGGAGGCGGTGGCGTCGAATCAAATGCTCCTCCAGCAGAGAAGCCGAAATCCGGCGAGCTCGAAAACAACTCGTCGGCTCCCATCGTTGGCGAGGCGTCTTGAGCACACGAGTTTGCGGGCCCGTGATTGAATTGTTCGTGGTATTCGTGCTGGACTGGGGTATCGAACGCCGACGGCGGTGCACCACATGCATCATGTCCAGAGAGAGCACCAAATAACCCGTCGGCAGCGTGGGGTCGGTCGTCATCGGCCGTCTTTTCGGGAGCGTTGCAAACAACTCCTTCTGAAAACACAGGCGCTTCTTGTGGATGTTGCTCGAACCCAAACTCACCTGGCGGCGACGAAATGTGCGGTGCCAAAGAGCCATGAGGAGAATCGCCCTGTAGATCCAAAGGCGAGGCCTCGGAATACTCTTCATGGTGCTGGTCCAGTGGGGACCTCGCCTCGTACGCATGACCTTGTCGGTGGCTGCACACCGACGGTGTCGGAGCATCAAATTCTGGAACGTGGCTGTGCTCTTCGAACCCAGACGACGGAATGGCTGTGGGGTGGCTACTGCCCCCGTGGAATTCCGGCAGATCGTGGAGGTCTTCAAAGACAGTCGCACCACTTGTGGGATGGTTGTGCCTGTGGTCAAGCAACGACAACATTGTCGGAGGTTCGTCGTACCGAGGAGGCGCTGCGGCAATCACGTCGATTTCCCCGTGTCCAGGTGCGAAAACGGCGGCAGGATGCGCTTGTTCCTCATTTGTAGCCACAAAGAACCCATCCCTCGGGTCATGCGTCGTGTGGTGGTCAAAAGGGGACGCATCGATTTGTTCTTCGTACGTCGCTTCCAGCACTTCAGGCGACGCATGCAGTCCGCTGTTCCGCGACGATGGCGGTGTGGCATGGACTTCAGGAGCCGATACTTGCTGAGCGTGATTATACCCGTCGTTGCTGCCTTCGACATGGACCGATGCTTCAACAACTCGTTCCGGCGAGTACGTGAAGGGGGACGGGGAGGTCTCTGGAGTCGAGTCCAATGGACTCGACCTGAGGTATTGCTCCAACGGGGACGCCTCATCCATCACCTCATGTTCGTCGACATTAGCGACCGCTTCGACGGATTCGTAATGGAAATCAATCTCCGCGTCAGCAGGTTCGTGACGGTGCTCAGCAGCAATGGCATGCGTTTGATTGAGCAAAGCCACGTCGTTGCCACCTCCTTCAACGGGATCACGCGCCACAGCTGAGCCAAAGGCCTCCATGTGAGTCGCTGGATACACAGCCTCGGGAGGCTCCTCAACCATTTCTTCGACGGCTGGCGGTTGGGTCAGTGGAATTTCGATGTTGCGTTGAGCATCAAACGTGTGGCAATCTTCGGGCTCGGCGGCTTCCGCACAATGGTAAAAAGGACTGGAATCATTGGGAGCAGCATCAACCAAGTCTAGCATGCTTCCTTCCACCACGGATTCCTCAACGGCATGCGTCGCTTTGTCGCATGGCGCGTCGTGCTGGGGGTACGATCGTTCGAAACCCGAGCGATGCGGGGCATGAAGAAGCGCTTCTGGAGGAGATCGGTCGTGATGTGAAGGAATGGGCAGCTGGTCGGGTGTCACCGCAACTTCGCTCGACCACGAGTCTCGATTCCGAGGGCTTTCTTCTGGACTCAATTTCGCAGGGATGCCGTCGATGCCAGCGTGCTGTGACGTATCGATATGATGCAACGACAATTCCGGTACCTCCGTTTCGGCGGATGAGCTGACAATTGCAGCAGGGTGTTCCGGGGCGACTGGCACATCCTCCACATCGTCTTCGTCTCCAATATCGAGATCGACATCCAGATCGTCGTCGCCAAACGCCCCAGGAGGCGCGTCGTGGGGACTGACCGGAGTGGTATGGAGCGCTGGGATGGCATCGACGGGAGCATCCATATAACTGAGTACGTCTGGACTGTCGAAGTGTTCCGCTGTCCGAAGGGGTTGGCGGATTGCTTCGTCGATTTGATCTGCTACGACTGTCGGCTCCTCATGTTGATCTTCGAAGTCCAGATCGTCACCAAACGCCCTAGCATCGTGGGGACTGACCGGAATGGTGTTGAGTTCCGGGACCTCGTAGACGGGCGCGGCGGGGAAGGTATGTATTTCTGGGCTATCGTAGAGCTCCGCTGCATGAATAGGTTGATGAAATGCTTCTTCTACTCGATCTGCAACGACGGTGGGCTCCTGTTCTTCGTCGTCGAGCTTTAAATCGTCGTCACCAAATGCACCTTCTGGAGCTTCGGCCGACTGGCTGAACGGACTACTCGTGTTGAAGTTGAAAGATGGACCAGCTGCAGCGACAGGTGACGGTGGAGGTGACAACTGACGTGATGGGGCGGCAGTTGCCTGATCGTCTTCATCCTCATCCAAGTCGAGATCGTCATCACCAAACGCTCCAGCGGGGGGTTCACGAGGACTGAACTCATCAACCTGTTGCTTCCACGCCGACGTTTGAGTGTTCTGAGCTTTGGTTGGAGACGCCTCGTCGTCGTAGTCCATCTCGTCGCTCCCGAGCAAGTTCGACGGAGAATCGGTGCCCCATGCGCCACCAGCGTTGTCGTCGGCATCAGCGTCCAAATCCAATATCGCCGATGTTCCGTGGATCATGTGATGTTGAGCCAAGAGATCGTCCACGACACGGCTCGGGATTGCATTCTTATTTGGGAGCCTGGCAGGAAACTGTGGCTTGTTCACATCGGCATGGGGATTGATGCTCAACGGCTGGCGAACTGACGAGGGGTGCGGTGGCGCCCTCTCTTCTTGGTCCACGACCTCCCATCCTTCAGATTCGGTATGAGAAGGTGGACCGTAGAGCGAGCGCACTCCTTGGCCTTCCATGCGGCCAGTGCTTGCCTTGCTTGGGGGGTGTGGAGAATGTTCGTTGCATGAGTTATTTTGAAATAGACCTGTATAAATGAATATACTTGAAAAATGCATCCTCATTAAATCGCATACTCTTCCATTCAACAATTCAGCTTGTATAATGAAGTGAGTCCTTTAATAATCTATACCTACAAAACATTACCTTCGTCAGTTTCAGACGCAATCACACCTCTATAAATACATCAACCAATCCAAAGTGACCACATCAGAATGAGCGGTGACTCGACCACCCACGTCTCCTGTCATGGTGAGCCGTGACAGGCTCCCACGCGGAGAAGCAGTGAACCATTGAGGACAAGTAGCTCTAGTATTCACTGCGACTAGCTCCGTGAAGAGGTCTGGAACCTCGAGTGGCGAGCGTCATAATGAGTCGACGAGTCACTCTAGTGCTCAAAATGACAATAGTACGCATCTTGCAGTCGTGCGCGGTGGCTCTTCTTCCACGCTTCGAAGTCTTCGGTGTGCTCCTTGTGCTGGCGCGCAACAGCCGCTTGAAAGAACTCTCGTTCATGTGATGCTGGGACGACGACGATGCCTTCCTCATCTGCGACGACAACATCCCCCGCTGACACAGCCACATCACCGCACACCACAAGTTCATTCAACGTGCCACGACACGTCTTCGTGCCTGGAAACGGAACAATGCCTCGGGCAAACACAGGAAACTTGAGCGCGCGAATCTCTGCAATATCTCGCACGACTCCATCCAACACCAAGCCTGCAATCCCACGTTCCTTTGCAACGCGCGCCACGTTGCCTCCTATCGCAGCAAAGCTCACATCGCCTGACTGCACCACGACAACAGATCCCGGCGGTGCTTCGTACATGGCAACATGCAACATTAAATTGTCTCCTGTTCATGTCGTGTAAGGAACTAAGCTAAGCGAAGAGGGCACTCAACTCACCGGGGGGAATATGGACGGTGAAGGCACGTCCACTGATGCGTGGGCAGTTCCACAACGGGCGGATGTCATGCCGAACGATTTGCGATCGCGGCAGAACGTCTGCCAATGTCGTTGGCGAGAATGCTGCGAACGAAGGCATTCGAGAAATGTTGTTGTGTTGTTATTCGGACTTTATCCGGATATCTTTTTGCCATGAACGCGTTCGGTCAAGGGTCAATGGCATGCTTGACTCGGCCTTGGAATGCCGTCGTCGCTCTCTACACGTCACATGCGAGTATTCCAGCCACAAGGGCCCTCCGCTCATTGCCGACGACTCGACTGCCACCTTGGACGGCACGGCTCAAGCTTCAGTTGAATTGATACTTTGCAACATTTGCATCCGGATATATCCGTACTTTTGACGCTTCGTCGTTCATTCCATTCCACATGGGTACAGTTCACTCGAGCAAGCGACGAGTTCGGTGAGAGAGCGAGGTCTTCCGCGCCAGGAAAAATGCTTTCGCATGCGCTTTGGCGTCGTCGGCAGCCGACGCAGCATCTCTGTACGCTTGCTCTTTGTCCGAGTACCTGTCGCCCTTGGGAATTTTTATGGTGACGACTTCAAGGTCGTGGGCGCACTCGATCTTGCCAGAGTCGTAGTGCGATGCACACTGCTGGCGAATGCATTCCATGACTGGTTCCATCGACCCGTCGTCTTTGTATCGACGGCTAAAGTGCGTAAGAATCAAGTGCCGGCATCGCAGCGCCTGAGCAAACCGGCCGGCGGTCCGCGGAGTCGAGTGCCCATGGACGTACGTCGTGGCTTCAACTTCGTTGAACGTGGAATGGGCACCGTCCAACATGTCGATGAAGGCGTTCGTGCATTCGTGCACCTACGAATGATTCCATTTCACTGCTTGGTGAAGTGCTCCAACTGACCACGACATCGGCGCCAACGGCTAGTCGCGCCACAGCACGGGAGTCGCACGTGTCACCGAGAATGGCGAGACGACGGCCAATTCTACGCTCGCTTAAGACATCTTCCGGCAACAGAGTTCCGTCCACGAGCTCCACAGAGTGGCCGTGCTGAAGCGCCGTCAAGACTGCGAGTGGGTTCGATATGTCACGTCGTTGCAAGAACTCTTGGTTGTCGGGCGCAAGCAGCCGAGATTTGAGATCGCTCGTCAGGTGAACTCTACCAACCATAGCATCCACAGGATGTCAAATAGTATGGTGGATGTGATACCGGCCGGGGTAATCTCGTTCTTGAATGACAAAGGCATAACAGGGCTCGAGCGTGTGCTTCAGCGGGGCTGCACAAACGAAGAACGTCTCCTCAACGTTCCCACTGTTGTCGATATGCTGATGTCGGGGATGGAGTTTCCCTGTGGATGGAGGCGGCGGGACCCGCCACGTCCCGTCGTTCAGAGGAGCCACGTTGAGGCCAGGTAGTTCCATCGGTACATACAACGGGTCGGCGTCGTAGATATCACTCGCTGGTGCCTCGCCAAACCAGAGCTCGTCAACTCGATATTGGCACAACATGTTGGACTCTGTATCGGCGAGGTTGCGTCGCAAGTACTTTCGCAAGCCTGGCGGGCCGACAACCTAACAGTGCTATGACGACGAAGAGCATCGTCGTTGGAGGAATCTCACCTGGATGATACGGGGCTCGCCGGTGCATCCGACAGACAGGAGCAAGCCCATCAAGCCAAACACATGATCGCCATGCATGTGCGTCACAAACACCCGAGACACAGCGCTCTGCAGCACGGCCGACTTCGCCAACTGCGTTCCTGTGCCTTCTCCGGCGTCAAAGATCCAGCAATCGCCGCCGATGGCAACGCCGATGCCAGATACATGGCGTGTAGAGGAAGACACCATGGAAGCTGTGCCAAGAAAGACCATCTCGACCAACGGCGGCTGCGGCAATGCAGCCTCGCTCGAGGTTTCTCCGTGGTGCCTGCGGGGCATTGCTGAGTAAGGACCAATGACATACATTCCACGTTATCCGGATTTTCCCATGCATAATGGAACTGTAAGCGCAAATTTGGGCTGCGTCGTCGGGCGGCCATGTCCGTCGGAAAGGACTTTATCGTGGCGGTAGTGTGCTTTGACCATCGCATTGGCCCTGAAATCGAGTTCGTATATCCGCCACCAGAGGAGCACCATGACGATTCGTCCTGGCAAGACATGAAGATCATCCTACCGCATTTGGCTTTGCCATCGCGTCACGAGGCGGCCGCTGAGAAGTCGACGTCGACATCTTTCTTCTTTCACGTGCCTCCGCCCAAAGGCCACAATGAGATCGCATGGAAAGGCGTGGCATACTACGATGTCATTCACCCTCAGGCCACGCAAGCTCTTGATGTCGACACTTTAGCCAAGTACTCCCGTGGTGCCATCCAGAAATCGGTCGTCGTGTTGTCCAAGACGCCGTACCAAGCGTACGTCATGGTGAAGCTTGACTCGATGGCTCGGCAATTCTTTTCTCAGGTGCGAGCGCCACTGGTCGCATCCCCAGTGCATTGACGGCATGAGTTGCAGGTATCGTTTGGGGACTTTGGTCTTGTCGTGGAGCTCCACGACGCGCTGTGTTCCGTGGACATGGAATCGTTGTCGTGGCCGCAGCTACACATTGGTTTGCCGCTGCAGACTCTTGTACGCGCAATGGATGTTCACTTGATCGGTCTCCTTCGCCTATTGCTGGTGGAAGGTCGGATAGTGATGTACTCGCAGTCGCCGCAGGTCGTGTCGAGCTCCGTCCTAGCTTTTGTTTCGCTCTTGCCTGGTGGAATTCAACCCACGTACGCGATTCCCCATGCCCACCGCTACCGATGGGCAAAGTATGGCTTTCCCTTGGCGCTTGTTCACCCAACCTTTGCAGTCGAGGTATGCGGCTCTGCGTGCTCCTCCCTTGACTCCGTCAACCATCCTGATCGCGGCGTTACCTTCAGCCGTACCTAGTCTCGCCGTGCGCTGCATCAATGCTGCAGCAACCAGCGAATCAAGGCGGGTTTCTCGTCGGGTCATGTGACCCCATCTGCCTGAAATTCCATTCGACCTTGGACGCTGTCGTCGATTTGGACGCCCAGTCGGTGCATTTTCACTCGGCCCGAGCGGCCGCTGCAGCAACGCTTGGTCCGTCATCGGTCGATTGTTTGAACAACATCTTGAGCCACGCCACCGATGCGCTGGAAGGCATGGTATTGCTCCGTTGTTTCCAACTAACTCGGATCAACTAGAAGAGTCGGGGGTTGGCACCATCGATTGGATCGGGTCGGACGACTGGATCAGACAACAAGTTCAGCTGTACATGGAAAAATTCGTGACGGACGTCGCCACCGAGGGCAACGTGCCGCGACGGAGGTCGTCGTTGTGGGCCTTGATGTCGTCGCCAGCCGAGTCCCGCCTATCGATGGAGTACAATGACACGTGGCTTCAGCTCTGGTATGGCACGGTCAACTACAGTCAGTGGCTCAAGAGCCATCGACTGTACAACGACACACAGAGGCAGTCGCCACCCGTGCCAGTCGCTGGCCATGTTGCCTACACGTATCCAAATGGCGACACGTACGATGGCGAGTTTCGAAACCAGATGCGCCACGGCCGTGGCAAGTACGTTGTGGCCAACACAAGTCACACGTACGAAGGGCAGTGGGAGGCAGACCAGCGGCATGGCCATGGCACGTTAAAGTACGTGCTCCTACTGTTTTCCACATCCCAACCAGCACGACCCGACTTGCTGCCAGGTCGATGCACGGCACCTACGATGGCACGTGGAGTCAAAATGAAAAGTGCGGGTATGGCGAGTTCTCGAACGCTGTCGTCACGTACAAGGGAATGTGGCGCCACAACGTGTACCATGGCAGCGGCGTGTTGGTGCAGCCTGGATTGGACTACGACGGCGAGTTTGTCCGCGGCCAATTTGATGGGATGGGCAAGTGCACGTTCAAGAAGCATGCGGGTACAACTTGAGCATGGCCAATGACCGCCGTGTCGACGCTTTCTGACGAGTGGCGACGTGTAGAGTGGACGCGATATCGTGGCGAGTGGCGGCGCGGTGTGTTTCACGGGTGCGGCACCCTCGAGTACGGCAATGGTGACGTGTACGTTGGCGAGTTCGACAACGGCAAGCGATCAGGACAAGGCACAGTCACGTCAAATGCCGGCGACGTGTACACAGGTTTGACGTGGAGAAAATTCGGAATGAATGGGGCAGGTTACGACCTCGATCTGTCTGGATAGGAGAGTGGAAAAGCGACATGCAGGACGGCCACGGCAGCAACTACTCCCACATCTCGAAAGAAACGAAAGAAGGTCGGTGGGTACGAAACCGAGTCGTGGAAGGCAAACACGAGCAGTGGATCATCTTGTACCCAAACAAGGACAAGTATATCGGGATGTGCCAGGGCGGCCGGCCGTGGGGCCAAGGTATATGTGGAGAGTATCGCGTGCCTTGAAGCGCGGCCTGCGTGATGGAACTAGGCATCTGCCGCTACGCGAACGGGTCTGTGTACACGGGGGAGTGGATCGATGGCCTCCGTGAAGGTCTTGGCATCTTCTGCGATCCCAACGGACGCACGTTTGAAGGCGAGTGGAGGAATAGCCAGCCGTGGAAGGAACAGTCCGTCACGCCGTACGTCGACGTATCCCTGGCGGACAACACCAGCGTCGTCGTCGATAACGAACCAGTCGACCATGAAGCAACTAGTCCACCCGGCGATGGCGTTTACATGTTTGTGTATGCGAACGGAGACACGTACCACGGGCGATTTCGGCACGGACAGCGCCACGGCACGGGAATATACACGAGCAAGTTGACTCGACACGTGTACGACGGCGAATGGGACATGGACCAGCGCCATGGCAAAGGTACCGCCGACGGTGGACTCGTCGACCGTGATGTTTCGGTCGGCATGGCGCAGGGATTTTAACAAGCGGCACCAACGATTTCATCTACGATGGCGACTGGCGGCGTGACACGAGGACGGGAAAAGGCACGTGTGTCATTCGCGGCGCCGAAACGTACACAGGTACGGGACGTGCCGCCGTGCGATGGCTGCATCTTACGGGGTGGTGGACGAACTATGCGCAGGGGATTGGAACGAGAACCGGTTCGACGGCACGGGCGTGTACACGGATGCCGACGGGAGCGTCTACGAAGGCGAGTTTCGCCGCGGGTTGAAGCACGGCATGGGCAAGTTGACCAACCCGAGTGACGTGTACCAAGGCGAGTTTCAAAACGGCGAGCGGTCGGGAGTCGGTACTTTGGCGTGACTTTTGCCACTGGTGGGATGAACGACGCTGTAGGCACGTGCACGTATGCCAGTGGAGACGTGTACACGGGCGATTGGAAAGCGAACCAGCGACACGGCGACGGCATCATGTTGTACAAGAGCGGCGAACGGTACGCCGGGCAATGGCGCAACAACGTTCGCGAAGGTTCCTTCCAGCGAGCCAAAGGACGATTCCCACCCACACGCATGGATGGCTAGGATGCGGTTGCCTCACAGACGCCAGAGGCACGACGAAAGACGGCGTGTGGAGCGGGGACGCCCCGATGAACGGCGACTGGCACATTACGTTCGCCACGGGCAGCGCGTACAACGGCCAATGCGTCCAGGGCAAACCGCATGGAACGGGTGTGTGCAAGTACACGAATGGGGACGTGTACAGTGGCGAGTGGGTGCATGGGGTAAGCTCGCCGCCAACTTTCCCATCGTTCCGATTCCTCGTCATGTCTAGGCTCGCAGTGGTTGGGGCGTGTGTGTGTTTGCGAACGGCGACGTGTTTGAAGGCGAGTGGACGAGCAATCATGTGTCCCTGAACGGCAAGGGCACGTTGACGATGGCGAACGGCACCGTGCACGCGTACGCGCAGTGATGGACAAGTCATGGCGGCAAAATCGGAGTCCCGACGTCCGTGTTAAATAGAGCAGTGCTCGTGCGATGGGTCCAGAACAGTCGCACGCAACGTCGCTACTTTTTCTTGGCTTTGAGAGCCGCCTCGGCCGACTGAATTTTGAGCACCAGCCACTCCTTCTCGATTTTCTTGTGCTCGTTGATCAAGTCGTCGTGTTTTTCTACGAAAAGCGTCGATCGACGTGTAACAAAGTGACGACTCTGCTGGTCAACGGCACCTTGCAGCAGCGCGAGTTTCATCTTGGTCTCGACCAGTTCCGTTTGAAAAAATTCGTTTTCCTTTTTGAGCTGGCCGACTTCATCGGTTCCTGTCGACGTCGACAGCTGGGCATCGAGGGCGGCCACCTTGGCTTCTAACTCGCGGTTGACAACTTTGAGCGTCTCCAGCTCCAATTCGCACGACGTGAGCTACAACGTCGACCGTCGAGACCCCATCTTACATCCCGCAACGATATCCACGACCCACCTGGTCCTTGGCAAATTTGAATTCTTCTTCGACGTGCTTGGCAGCACTTGTCACGTCTGCTCCGTCTGCTTCAGCTGTCTTTGCCCGCTCGTCCGCCTGCTGCGCCTTGAGACGGTCCAGTTCCCACGAGCACTTGGCCAGCTATGTCGCAATCTCGCTTTAGATCCTCGGTGCGAGCCATTGGCGATACCTCGTCCTTTGCGGCCATCCATTCGTCGTTGCGCTGCTGTAATAGCTGCTCCATTTCGTCGTTCCGGGCATCGACTTGTTGGTCCATTCGATCCTTGAGCTTCTGCACCTCAGCTTGGCTCTTTTCCAACTACAACGATCACGGCCCACAACGACCACGTCAACCGCCGTGGCCTGGTGACTACGCCTACCTTGTCCTGTAACCCATTGCACATTTCGATCTTTTCGTCCAAGAGGACCTGGAGTTCCGACTCGATCTGGTCCTTGCTGTGCTGCTTTTGCCATGCGGCCATTTCTGCTGCTTTCTCGGACAACTATATCCCAGCCCACGGTATCCGCTCTGTTCCTCGTCGCCAACACAAGCCTACCTCATACTGCATGTGCTGAAGGTCGTGCTTGAGGTCTAAAATTTGAGCCCGCAGCGCGCTCGTGTCGCTGTGCTCGAACGACGTCCTTGCATGGAGGTCCTTGACCTGTCACGATCCAAGTCAGCGTCTCCATGACGACGTATTGCGGGCAACCTCGGCTTGAAGTTGCTGGTTTTCTTCGATCGTCGCTTCCATGTCTGACTTGAGCGACGTAAGTTCAGCCAAGTGCAGAGCGTTGGCCGCTTCAATGCGCGCGACCACAACCTCTTCGTTGACGGCTTTGAGCGCTGCCAGCGCTTCCACGTGCAGTTGCTTCTCTGTCGCTTCGGCTTTTACCTAGACGGCATACACCCTTCCGTCTTGAGACGCGCATGTATCACCGAGCTTGTCAAAGGAAATATTGACCGTACAGCGTGCTCGAGAGCCTCTTTTTCACCGAGCCATACGTTTTTTTCTTCCTGGAGACACTCGATTTGCGCTTGGAGCACGAGCAATCGACGCCCTTCAGCCTCTAGTTGCGTCTCTGCCTGGTTCAGCTGCTGCACGCTATCTTGCTGCATGCGAGTGTGCATGTCTAGGGCCTGCTGCAACTCGCCAGCCTTTTCAGCGAGCTACGAGCGACACCGCCAGCCGTTTGGAGGTTCATCCACAACAGAGAGAATGACAACGCTCGTACCTCTTCCTGTACTCGCTCCATCGCATCTTTGAGCTCGCGCACCTGCTGCTTGAGGTAGCCGACCTCGGCGTCGACTACCGACGTTGCTTGAGTCAGACTTTGCGCACTGGAATTTTGAACACATCGAACAACGTCCATGTCGGACAGCGAGAAGCCTGTGTGGGACATGGCCTCTTGAGCCTTGACCAACTGGGCTTCCAGCTCGCGAATGCGCTGACTTTGGTCGCGCGAGGCGGCGGTGAGCTGGTCCACTTGAGTTTGGTCCATCGTGGCCTGCCACGAAGGGGTCATGTCATCGCAGCTGCGCCATCATGGGTTCGCCGTACCGAATTCGACGACCTGCCACGCTTCAGCTCGGTCACTCGTTTGCACAGCTAGACCATTGTCGTCAAGAGCACATGTTGTCCATTTCTACCTCTGTTTCGACTTTGGTCTTGGCATCCCTCAGTTGACTGTTCTTGGTCTGCAGCGCCGATACTTCGTCGCGCAGCTCGTCCACATTGCGCTGCAGCATCTCAACAAGCGCATCGGCTTCGCCGCTGCCCATTTCCGTCGACGACGCGCTCCGCTGCATTTGCAGTCGCACGATGTCTTCTTGGGCTTTGGCCAAATCCGCTGCTTTCAACGACAGCGTGTGGTTGCAGTGCGAGTGGAGCTCGAGGACTTGCTGCAGCTCGGAGCTCCGGTCAAAGAGCTATTTTAAAAGACACATCGCCCTTGATTGAGTTGCAGGTGGACATTGCACACACACCTGGTTCTCCAACGAGTCGACGTCGCGCTGCATGCGCATGACCTTGTCCTCAAGGGCCTTCTTGTCCTGCTGTAGGCGAAGCACTTCCCCAGCCACTGTGTTCGAGGCGGCCACTGGCGTGTACGTCAAGTCGGCGTCCAACGGCTTGGGCACCGTGTGGTGGCCAAGTCCTTCGCTCCACGACGCCACGTGTCGTAAGGGACTCGTAGGCGGATGCGCAGTTGCTTCAGCGGCAGCTCGCGCAGCTGCTTGCATGAGGTGTTGGATTTTTCCCTTGAGCTCTTCGTTCAAGCTCGTGAGGTGTCGAATTCGTTCGAGCTGGACGACATTGACGCGAGAACTGCTTTCCATCGCGGCTTGGAGCTCCGTCCGTCGGAGAACGACCTCCTTCTCGGCCTTTGCCTTCTTTTCTTTTACCGACGCGAGCTCGTCCTGCACGGCAGCGTGGGCAACCACCAGCACGTCGTACTTGGCTCGGTACCCCACGTCCTCGTCGTTCACGGTCGGCTGCTTGGTGGCTGCCTGACTCAGTTGTACCAACGCGGCGTCGAGTTTTGCCTGGAGGTCTTTGTTCGCGCGGTCGTACTTGACAATTTGCGCAGCAAAGCTAGCACTGGATGGCGGGGCATCGCGTTCATCGTCGTGGTCGGTCGGAACGTTGGCCGACGATGTCTCCGAAGCGTTGTTCTATCGGTGGCACATCAGTCCACCGTTCGTTTCGATCGAAGGCCCGGACGCACCACAGCAGCGTCGTCATCTGCGCCTTCGTCTGTCGCTGGCGCTTGGAACGTCATCCGTCGAGAAGACACGATGTGGCTCGCAACTCGCTTTGGAGGGCTGTCAACGGCATGGCTTCGTTCGCCTTCGTCGATCGGGTCATGCTGGACAAACGTGTCAACATGTCCCACAAGGTTTGACAGCCTACTTGCGTTCGAGACGCCGTTGTCGACGACGCTGACAAAGGCCTACATGCATGACGCGATGACGGCGCGGCCAAACTCGACGATGCAGCGGCCGCTGGTCGTACCTTTCCGTGTCGAGCGCGGTGGCCAGAGACATCTAACACACAGTCAACACGTTGTGGGAGATGGTCCACGATCGCGTACCATGAGCGATCCATTGCCCCACGCCTTCTTGGGCTGAATGACCAAGCTGTACGAGTTGTTTCCAGCGTTTTTCTCGGACGTGTACTGGGCGAGGTCGACTTCGAACGTGCAGAGGACGCAGTCGCCTCGGGCCTTGACAACGTCGACCGTGAACGTCTTGGGTTGGAATGTGGCGTGCTTGGTCCGGTACATGGTGCAATGGAAGCTCAGGGATTCGTCTGTCCAGTGCACCTGACGGCTCGACAGGATCGGAACCGGCGTTCCCCTGACTTTATGCGTGCCCCGCGTGACGACTGGGTACACCATCTCGAGCTCCTTGGCGTCCGCGTCACTGCTCGTGAGTTTGTGCAGGACAATGTGAATGTTGAACCCGACGCCGGTCTTGCCGGCATGTGTAGCCGCACGGAGGAACCTCGCCATGTCCGATTTGAATGTGGATGGCCGCTGTCGGCGATCTCCGCCGTCCACGCACGTCGAGGGGTTGCTCGGTCCAAAAATACGAATCCGTTTCATCGTGATATACTGTCGCCAAGTCAAATCTCCCCCACGTCAAACGAATCGTGGTGCCACGAATGTTCCGCCAACGGCACGAGTCACTCGATTGCGCGCCGCCACGGCCCGCACAAACAACTCGTCATCTAGAGACCAGTGCATATGTACGCCAGGCACATGGCACTGTTACTCTTACACATGGACTGCTTAAGCTAAACGAACCACGACCAGAGCCGCGCAAACCACGACGGCGGCGGGGTATGCGCACGGACACGTCGGGTGCCTGAGGCGGCTTCGGCTGCCAAGTGCGCTTTGATCGACTGCGCGACGGAATACCCCATTGCAAACGTGGTCACCATCGGGCTAGACATCGCACACACATTGAGTACCATGACGAGGGCACCGTGACATGGAACTCGCCGGACGTACTTGACCCCGGTCGCTGTGGGGAAAATGGACGAGTCCGCCACGTACAGCCCCTGCACGTCCCAAGTTTCTCCGTCGGCATTCACGACGCCCATTGCAGGCGTCGCGCTCATGCGGCAACTTGACATTTGATGGGCGCTAAAGATGCCGATGCTGTTGGATGGAATTCCCATCTCGCGCAGCTGACGGAACCACTGCTGGGTGGTCTCGCATTCGACGGGGTTTGCCCGGTCGTCGGCTGAATCGAGGCGCAGGGCCGGCAAGCCCAAATGCGACGTGTTGATCTCGATTGCCCCTTGGCTCAGCAGGATCTTGGCCGACGCGATCATGCCTTCCACCATCGACATGGCGTCCTTCCGGCCCAGGGAAAAATGCACCCGAGCACGCCCTATGACCACCATCCACGAGAATCAAGTGCCGCCGGAAGACAGGTACCGCGAGAACGGGCGGCGGTGGGCGACGAGATCGAGTTTACACAAGCCAGTGGCGGCACTCACCTGTGCCATCGATCGTGACTTGAATCGGAGAATCGCAGTCCCGGACAATGGTCACGATCCCCGAGAGATGGGGAATTTGCAGCAAGAGCCGCGTAAAGTCTGCGATACCGCGCCACGGCAACAGCGCCGACGTAGCACCCAGCAACGACGTGGGGGTTTCCAGACGAGCACCATACCTAATTCCAGCGCTAGGAGCGCGCCGACCGTATTCAAAACGTACCCGTCGCCATGCACATTGCTCACGACGTCCGTGACACTCGTCATGATCGATCCTTCCCACGACTTGACGAGTTTGTCGGGCAAAAACCCGTGCACGGTCGTCACTGGGTGGAGCCGCATGTTCCGGCCAATGTTGGGGTTTCCGAGTCCGGACCGCAGCAGCAGCGCCGGCGAGTTGACGCCGCCACACGCGGTCACAACGGTGTTTGCGCGTACGACGATCGAAACGTTTCCGTCGAGGACCGTGCCAACGACTCCCGTCGCAATCTTGTCGGCTGTGAATGTTACCTTGTCGACCTTGCAGCCCGTGATGAATTTGGCGCCGGCCGCCTCGGCGTCCTGGAGCCACGTCATGTGCGTGCCCTGCTTTTCACCGTACGGACACCCAAGCGAGCAAAACCCACACGAGTGCCGGTGGCCGTTGGTGTTTTGAGGAATCGCGTGCGCAGGAAACTCGAGCGCGGCGCACCCGTCCACGAGAATTTGGTTCGGAACGTTGTGCGAGACGTGGTCCGCTGACACGCCTGCATGGCCGCGTTCAACGTCGGCTAGGCAACATGCATGGGCGCGCTACCTGCCCGGGTGCACACTGCGTTGAGGGCAGCTTGGTACTCGGGCGTTCCAAAGTACGGCAGGTTATGCTTCTTCACCCATTCGTCTAGCACGTCCGAGGGCGGCCGCAGCGACGCCGACCTGGATGGATGGCCATGCGAGCATGAGTCACGCTTGTTTTGTCGGCAACTCCAACGACTCCCCAACTGCTTTGATCGACGGACGCTTACCAGTTCACCGCGGTGCCGCCACCCCACGTTTTTCCCGCGAGCAGTTGCATGGACCCGTCTTCCGACACGAGGAAGACCGAGTCGATGTAGTGCTTTTCGTATTCCTCCATTTCGGCAAAGTTGGAATCGGACGGGTGATGAAACGTGCCTTGCTCCAGCACGACGACTCGGTGTCCCGCTTGGGCCAGTTCCGCCGCTACCGACCCGTCAGGATGACGTGGCAGCATCCGTGATAGCATCACGTACCGATGACGCCTCCACCTGCCCCAGAGCCAACGACGACGACATCGGTATCGATCTCGATCGGCCCGCCGTTCGCAGCTTCAGCCAGCGCAGCCACGCTACAAGTCATGAGCTGGACGGGAAAGAACGCAAACAATATACTCTTCAAAGCAAGGCTCGTGGAAATGGGACCGAGGCGGCAGCGCCTTTTCAGTTGGCTTGCCAGCATACTGAAGCGCCTTCCAGTACGGGTTGACGTCGCCGGTGTCGTTGGTCACATGCTGTGCAAACGTACACAAGTGCGTGAGAGCCTTGAGAGCGCGGAAGAGCGATCGAAGCAACGCAAACCGTGACTGCGACAGGTTCAATAGCGCGTGTTCGCGTTCGTCGAGGGTGAGGTCGTGAAAGGGCACAATGCGCTTGGAGCCCGTGAGGAGGTACGTGCCCCAACTGGTCGCCAGCACGTCGAGGACCTTGACAAATTCGTACTTCTTGTCGGCGGGAAAAAAGTTGAGCTTGGACTCGATCGCGTCGACCACGCCAAGGTCGGGAGGTGGCATCTGTGCGAACGCTTCCAGCTCTTTCGACTTGACAGCTGACGAGTCGTCAACATCGTTGAGATGCGCCGACACGACGGCGGCAGCTGCGTCCTTGGAAAGCGGCGCGACAAAGGCAAACGCAATGGCCCCCAGCGTCGCCTTTTGTTGGGCCGTTAGCGCCATGCTCCGAGTCAGAGCGACGACGCTCTGTTCCGAGTTTAGAAGCAGGGCGCAGCGCCGATTCACATAACGTACCTCAAACAAGACACGAAACGGTTACTAGACGGCACATTAATCTTGCTCGCAGGGACCAGGCTCTGCACCAACCTCTTCAGCGCAGGCCATTCCGTCGCACGCTTGAAAGCATGCTCCTGCGCTGCCCTTGGAGAGGGACGAGTGCGCAATGCTGTCGACGCGGTGTGAGTGGGAGCCGTCTTCATGTACTCAACATGAGATACGCTAAGATTACCTTGCACAACAGGCCGCCTCTCTTGGCCGATTTCCTTCGTCCTCGTCCATCACGTGGCTTGCTCATGCGTCGAGCATATCTTCCAAGCAGCCACGCCAGCCGAACGGTGGATAGGAATGTGCGGGACCATTGCGGGTGCCAAAAGTCGCAATGCTTCCGCGTGCCCTGTCGAGCATGCTGTCGCTTAGGATGGAAGTTGGTTCGTTTGGACAACATGGAAAGCCGTCCATGTTGAGTCGTCCTTCGACCTGCCGTCGCCGACGCTGTCGACGGGCGACGATTCAACGAGGACGTCTTGTCGTGCCCTGCATGCAGCCTTTGGGGTCGAGCAACATGCGCAGCCACTCACGACCAGACCAACAGCGTTGTTTCAAAACCTAACATCACACAACGAACGGGCCAACCGCAATTCCTACAGCAATGCCAACTGGCGACGTTGTCGGGATCGGGGTCATGTCGAGGCAGACGACGCCAGGAATCGACATCATGTCGATTCCCGTACACGACGGCACCGTGGCCCGATACCTTGACAATACCTGCCAGCAACGTCCAGGACGCATGGAACAAACGGTTGGACTGCACATTTCACCCACGTGCATGGAGATCAAGCGCTTGTTCACAATGTTTATGGCATTGCTTCTCCATGTCCCTCTTGGAGCTGAGGCATGATCTAGCACCATTTGAGTCGCAAGCGCAGCAAGACAACGATGCCGCTCTACCCACGTAGATGGCTGTACCAAGTGTCGTGCTTGTACCAGTGGTCCACCGAGAAAGGCCGGCACGAACTGCACCTCGTGCGCCCCCATATGACGCGCTTTTCAAACTCGTATGGTACTCATCCACGAGAGCTAGCTCCTCCGCCAAACCAGCTGAAACAGGCAGTGGTTCGACTTTCCCGTCAGCCTTGCGTCATGCAAATCTATTCGCCAAGCGCATGGCACGCTCGCACTTCATTCGAGATATGCTGTGAAGTTATCGCTGGGGGACAAGTCATCAGGCTCTCGACTCTGTGGCGCAAGGTTGGCAGACAACACGTTGGAGGTACATTCCCGCGACCTCACGCGAGTCGCGTGGCGCAGCGTGCTCGCTCGATTTGCGCTTTTGAGATCACCATCGTGCAACGTCGTCGATGCAATTTCGACTTTAACATGTTTCAAATGTCCATCGTCGCCAAGTGTGGGATGCGGCGCAAGGGATGGCAGCCATGACAGGATGGATCTCCCCACCACCTTGTCGAGAACGACCTTTTCAGTCGTTGGTAATAACTTTTGCAACGCTGGGCTCGACGACGACGTGGCTCTGCCATGCCACCCGTCATGTTGCAATTCTTCTGTACGTGGAATCTTGCGATGCCGTCCCGCACCGTATATATGCAGCAGCATGGCTGCTTGTGGCGGCGTCTCCGCTCGGTGCGAGAGAATTCCCCCTGCCCACACCCCTGGAGACGACCCTCGGGTTGTCACTCACAGCTTGTGCTGGACGGGGGAGCTCCGTGCAGGAAGCGGTGCCGTTCAAGATGCAGGCGGCTAGCCCCCTCCCCGACTACATCCGCCGTGGGATCGATCCAAGTCAACTGCGTGGGGTTTGTGTGGCTACATGCTCGCGACTGGCCCCATGCGTCAGTGCAACCAAGGCGTTGTGCACGTCTCGACAAAGTAACCCTTGTAAAGCACTGACCACAGCGGCAGCAGAGAAGGAAGGCGCGTCGGCAGGACCGAGAGTAGGTCGTGGTGGCCCCCTCGAGGATGTGCAGGACGTGTGCATTTCTCGAGACAGGACGGCAGACTCGACAGAAACGTCCAGCGGCATGTT